TGTCCTGTGAAACAAAGTCAAACGCGAGAGAAATGTTTGCCTCTTTCAAATTTCTATCTCATAGAGTCATACAGTGTAGAAAAAGCCCTTCACCCAATTGAGTCTGCACCAGCTATAACTACCACTAAGGTGCACTAATTCCAATTTTCTGCACTTGTCCCATATCCTTGAATGTTATGATGTTTCAAGTGCCCATCAAAATATTTTTTAAAGGTTGTAAGGTTTCTGGTCTCTACTGCCTTCCCAGGCAGTGCATTCTCTGGAATTTCAACCACCTTCTGAGAAAAAATGTTTTTTCCTCAAATCCTCTCTAATCTCTTGCCCCTTACCCTAAAACTATGCCTCCTTGTGATTGACCCCTCAACCAAGGGGAACAGCTGCTTCCTATGCACCCTGTCCATTACCCCTCATAATCTTATACACCATAATCATGTACCCCCTCAGCCTTCTCTGATCTAAAGAAAATAATCCAAGCCTATCTAGGCTTTCCTTATAGCTCAATTGCTCCAACGCAGGCAACATCCTGGTGAACCTCTTCTGTATCCCATCGAGTGCTATCACATCCTTCTTGTAGTGAGGTGACCAGAACTGCTCACAGTACTCCAGTTGTGGCCTAACCAACACTCTGTAAAACCTGAATATTACCTCCTTGCTTTCTACTCTGTGTTACGAGTGATGAATGTAAGTGTTCCTTAAACCTTATTAACAATCCTGTTCATGTGCTCTGCTGACTTCAGGGATCTGCAAATAATTACCCAAAGATCCTTCTGTTCCTCTGAGTACTCAGTGTCCTGCCATTCATTAAATACTGCTTCATCCTGTTTCTTCCAAAGTGCATCACCACGTCATTGACAGGATTAAATATTATCTGCCACTGCTCAGCCCATCTGGCCAACCCATCTATATCTTCCTGTAAACTACAACCATTTTCTTCACCATTAATCAATCTTGGTGTCTTCTGGAAATGTGCTTAACATTACCCCCACATTTTCATCTGTATCATTTATGTATATAACAGACAATAAGAGTCGCAGTTTTGATCCTTGTGGTACACCGCTGGACACCAGCCTCCAGTCACTCAAACAGCCTTCTACCACTACCCTTTTGTATCCTATTATTAAGCCAGTTTCTGATTGATCTCACCAAGTTTCCCTGAATTCCATGCGCTTTAACCTTCTCAATCAATCTCCAATGTGGAACCTCATCAAAAGCTTTGCTAAAATCCATATAAACTATATCAATTGAACTTTCACTGTCCACACTGGATCACATTTTCGTAAGAATCTAACATTTGTTAGGCTTGGCCAACCGCTGACAAAGCCATGCAGACTATCCTAATTAACCCATGCTTTTCCGAACGGGTATTAATTCTCCCCTTCAGAATTTTCTCCAATAATTTCCCTGCCATTGACGTGAGATTCATTGATCTATAATTTCCTGAGTCCATCTCCACTGTCTTTCTTAAAAAGTGGAACCACATTAGCCATCTTCCAGTCCTCTGGCGCTTCTCCTGTGACCTGAGATGAATAAAATATTTGTGTCGGAGCCCCTACAATTTCCTGCCTTGCCTCCCATAGCAGCCTGGGAAGCAATTCATCCAGGCCAGGGGATTTGTCTGCTTTTAAGCCTGACAAAGCCTCCAATATATCAAACTGTGCAAGTTCCTCACACTTTGTTTTCCTGAATCCTGTATCTACATTCTCCTTTTCCAGAGTGAAGACCAAAGACACCCCTTCAATGTCCTGCAGCTTCACACACTGATTGCCCCTGATGGGCCCCACTGTTTCTCTTGTCAACCTCTTTCCTTTAATGTATTTTTAAAATATCTTGGGGTTCTTTCTAATCCTGTTCATAAGTTCTTTTTCATGCTCCCTTTTTGCTATTCTAATTGCTTTCTTAAGCTCCCTATTGCAATTGCTTTATTGCTCATCCATTCCTGCATTGTCGTAGATATCCAGGGTTCCTGGAACTTACAGCTCCTGTATTTCACCCAAAAGGGTACATGTGGACCTGTACACTCTCCAGCTTTTTTTTGAATGCTCCCTGCCACTGCTCTGCTATAGACTTACCCACAAGGAGCTGTTCTCAGTAAATTTTGGCAAGATCCTGCTTTATTTTAATAAATTCTGCTTTCCTCCAATCCAAAGTCATCTTTTGCAGCTATCTTTTTCCTGGTCCATAACAAATTTGAACCATATCATGTTGTGGTTGCTATTGCTAAAATGTTCCCCCAATGCTACATTTAACATTTGTCTACCTTTATTCCCCAGAACCGGGTCCAGCATTGCACCGTCCCTCATTGGGCCTTCTACACATTGGCACAAAAAACTCCCCTGGATACATTTCAAGAAATCTGCCCCCACTAAACCCTTAACACTATGGCTATCCGAATTAGTGTTGGAAAAGTTGAAATCCCCTGGTATAGTGTAGCTGATTATTATTTTTACACACCTCTGTGAGCAGTCTACATATTTGCTCCTCTATTTCCCACTGACTCTTTGGGGACCTTTAATACAGTCCCAGTAACATGACTGTCCCTTAACGTTCCTAAATTCTACCCACAAAGTCTCATTTGAGGACTCTTCCAAGATATCATCTCTCCTTATTGCAGCAACTGACTCCTTAATTAATACTGCTACTCCACCACCCTTTTTACACTTTCCTCTGTCTGTCCTAAAGATCCTAAATCATGGAATGTTGAATTACCAGTCCAGCCCTTCCCTCAACTAAGTTTCTTTGATGGTAACAATATCATAATTCCATGTGTCAATGCACGCCTTTAAGTTATCAGTTTTACATATTACACTTCTAGTGTTAAAGACCATCCAGGCTTGTCTTAATCTCCTGATACTCAACATAGCTGGACTCATTCTGACCTGCTTCCTTTGCTGTAGCATAATGTGTCTCTATTTTGTCGATATTCTGTGTCCCCTGCCCCTGCCAGACTAGTCTAAACACCTCCCAACAGCCGTAGGAAACCTACCTGCAAGGATGTTGGCTCCAATGTGGTTCAGGTGCAGACCATTCCATTTGTACATGTTCCACGTTTACTAAAAACAGTCCCAGGGATCCCGGAATATAAGATCTTCCCTCATGCACCAGTTCTTGAGCAACACATTCATCTGTGCTATTTTCCTATTTCTGTACTCGCTAGCACATGGCATTGGGAGTAATCCAGAGATTATGACCATCATGGTGGCTCATTTGTAAGCACTGTTGCCTAACAATGCCAGGGACCCAGGTTCAATTCCACCCCTGGGCAACTGTCTGTGTGGAATTTGCACATACTCCCCGTGTCTGTGTGGGTTTCCTTTGAGTGCAGGTTAGGTGGATTGGCCATGCTAAATTATCCATACTGCCCAGGGATGTGTATTAGCCATAGGTTAGCCATGGGAAATACAGGGTTGCAGGGATGGGGTGGGTCTGGGTGGAATGCTCTTCGGAGGGTCAGTGTGGACTCAATGGCCAAATGACCTGCTTCCACACTGTAAGGATTCTATGATCAAGGTCTTGCCTTTTAATGTACAACCTAGCTCCCTGAATTCTTGATGCAAGACCTCATTCCTCACTTTATCGGCCATATCGTTGGCACCAACATGTACCATGATCTAAAGTTTTTGAGAAGACTTGTAGCTCGGGTTGTGGATCAGCTTGTAGCCTTGCTCGCCGAGCCGGTGTGTTCGGTTGCAGACAGAGACACACTGATGATGTTACCTAGCAGGGTCACGTAACATCTGCAATCAAACACACCGGCTCGGCGAGCAAGTCTACAACCTCATGTAGCTTGATCTCTAACTCATCACCCTATCCTTTCAGGAGGCCATTCAGTGACAGCCCTGACCCTGGCACCAAGGAAGCAACACACCATCCTGGAGTTACGTCTTCAGCTGCAGAAACTCCTGTTTGCGCCCCTGACTAAAGAATCTCCTGTTACTATAGCTCTTCCTTTCTTCTTCATCAGCCTGCCCTGTCCCTGGAATGTGAGGCCACCTGTGGGTGCTTGTAACTTGACTGACTATAATCGTCTGAGATATCAGCACCCACATAAATTTGCATACCTCCACCAACTCTCTCCTCAATTTAACCTGCTCTGAAGACAACAAGCCCATTTCTCCATCTAACCTTGCAACTAGAATTCTTCAACCCTCAAACCATTTCTGACAAATCTTCCCTGCAGCCTTTCAAGCACCCTGACAGCCGTCACAGTGTGTGGTGGACACCGGTTTGCATAGAACCAGGTACTGTGTGTTGTAATGTCACGAGCCAATAATTGCACGTTGACAACACAACGCCACTGCTCCCTGGGGATTTCCTCGACTGAGAGACTTTTCTCTGACTCCAGTGCTTTGGATGTCTTTTCAGGTGCAGGATCCAGCAGGAGATTTTAAAATTGAAAGCTGAATTTATTTCAGAGGTGAGAATTTTTGACCGTGCATCCACAATTTAGAGCTTTTAGAGCTGTATTCTGTTAACTTGGAGAGGTTTAATGTCTGTGGGGTTGATATGACTCATTTACAGTGATTTAAATCCATATCCGTCATTTTCTCTGATTCACGTCTGTCCTCCCTGGTCAACCCTCTGCCATTGTCTGACAATCCCTGCCTCTAAAAATGTGTACTTTAACTCTGTAGTAGTTCACTGCTACTTTTGTCGACTGGTCTAAGTGAACTCTCCACCATTACAAATCCCTTGACCATGTGCTCCTGACTTACTGGAATTATCCTCCCACAGTATTTTTCACAGTAGGAACTGAGTTTTCCTGCATTATAGTCAACTTCTCTTCTTCTGAGCTTGTGTTGACCATCACATTCTGCATCATTTTTATTCCCTATAATTCACTGCGCACATCCAGAAGCATCAACTATGCTTCTCCCTCCACAGAGATGGCCTGACTTGCTGAGTATTTGCAGCATTAACTGTCTTTATTCCAGATTTGCAGCAACTGCATTATTTTGCTGTCATTTTGTTGCAGGTGATGCGCACAGAATCGAGTTTAGCAACACAACTAGACCAATTAAGACCAGGTTTGTATCAAAGTCGAGGTTTGTTCAGCATTTGGTCCTGGGCCTCCACTGCACTTTTTAGCGAGTCACAGAATCATCAAGTAGTTACATTACCGAAACATGCTGTTTAGCCCACTGGACCTGTGTTGGTTCTCTGCAAGAACAAATCAACTCGTTCCAGTCCCCTGTCCTTTCACTGACAAGACCAACAACAGATATTTCCAATCCCCAGTTCCTGTGGAGAAGATGATAATTGACATTATTGAACTGCTGGAGGCTTTGTGGTAAAGGTGCCCCCACAATTTTGTTATGTAAGGAGGTCATTCACCCAGCAAAGAGGAAAGGGGATTTGGGTACATATCCAAAATTTAGCTTTAAGGAGTATCTTAAAAGAGGAAATTGAGGTAGAGAGATGAAGGGGAGGAATTCCAAAGCTGATGGTATTGGCAGCTGAAGGAATAGTCATCATAGTTGCAACAGTAAAAACCATGAATGTTCAAGAATTAGAGGAGCACAGATAGTTTAGAGGGTTGTGAGACTGAAGAAGATTCCAGAGATAAGAAAGGGCATGACCATGAAGGGATTTAAAAAGAAGGATAAAATTAAAGTTTAGGTGCATCTTATCCTGGATGCTTTTTAAGCCAGTGAGCACAGGGTGAATGGATGAATAAGACTTGGTGTGTGGAAGGACACAAGGAGCAGAGTTTTGGAAAGACTTCAAGGCTACAGGGAGGTTGTATGTGGGAGGCCAGTTGGGAATGTTTTAGTATTGTCAAATCAAGGTGATCGAGGAATGAGTGAGAGTTTCAGTAGCAGATGAGCTGAGCTTGGTTGGAGTCAGTTAATGTTACTGAGGTGGATATCCGAGGTCTTATTGATGAAAGGTGTATATGGTTGAAAGCTCATCCTTTTGACACGCTTGTGACCAATCTGGCAGAGAGTTAACTGAGGGAGAAAGGTAAAGTTGATGGCATGCAGAGTTTGTAGTGGGGAACTGAAGGCAATGACTTCAGACTTCCCAAGATTGAAATGGAAGAAATTTGTGCTTATCCAGAACTGGTCAGGTGTGTGACGGCGATGGTGTTCACAAACCCTGGTCCTTCTCCATGGTCGAGACTTTGAGTTGTTGGGACGTTTCTTAAATTTTTGGTCAGGTTTTTTTTATGTAAAATGATATTTCTTCATCATCTGCCTTTCCTATCTCTCCCTCATTCTCTTTCTCACTCTCTCTCATACACACACACCCTTTCCTTTCCTTCTCCCTCGTCCCGTTCTCCCTCGTCCCGTTCTCCCTCGTCCCGTT